TAAATCATTTTTATTAAATTATTATTTTATTATATTATTTTATATATTTATCTTATTTTTTAAAATTATTGCAAAGATTAACATTTTTATTAAAAAAACTTCAATATTTTATTAAAATTATTACATTATATTATTCAATTTAAAAGATAATTCTAGTTACAATCTGAAATATTCATACACTTTTCAGGTGTTTAATGATTTTATAAAATGATCCATAAAAATATACTATTTTTTATTTTATATCGAATTAAATTTATTAAATAAATGTCATTATATTTAATATTTTAACAATAGGTTTTTCAAGTTTTTAAAAAAATTATACATGCTAAAAATATAATTTCGGTTAAAAATTATATTTTTTAAATAAATTTTCATGAGGTTATATTTTTTTAAAAAATAAACAAAATCAAAAAAAAAATTATTATAAATTCGATGTCAAAAGATGGATAATAAGTTTAAAAAAATAAAAATAAAATTTATTTTCAGATTAATGATAAAAAATGGAAAAAACATAGACCGAATATAAATAAATCAGAACAAAAAAAAATAAATTTAATAATAATTTATATATTTTAATATATTTATATATATTATATATATGATATATATATATATATATATATATATATATATATATATATATATATAAATTTTTTATGTTGCAATATTTTTCGTTTATTATGAAGTTAATTTTTACAAACCGGAATTTTTTATAGCGAGATTTTAAATAAACTTTAAATATATTTAAAAATTAATAAATTAATTATATATATATTTATATATTATATATATATATAGAAATATATATATATATATATATATATATATATATATATATGAAGAAATTTTGAAAAAAAAAAAAAAAAATCCTTAAATGTATTTAAAAAATGAAAAAATGTCGACGTCTGACGTTTCGGTTTAATAAACCTTTTTCAAGACAATATTCATAAAAATACAATTCAGTTCAATATGACAAATACGATGGACATAAAAACACAAGTCTTATTCAGAACAGATAACTGAAAATTTTTAAAATGATCAGCCTTCCGTTTAACATGGTCACGTTGTCGTCACATGGGCGACGCTTTCATAACGATATTAAAAAAGTTTGTGATTATTTTTTTGAAAAGAAAAAGAAAAATGAAATAAATTCTATTAGGTTCTAAAATTTTATGTGTATGCTTGTCGAGCATCAATCTCGCTAAAAAAGGGGAAATATTAAAGAAACCAGGTCTAGTATTCACCGTGCGTGAGATGGATATTATACCTGCTTCATTTGATTTTGATATTTTTATTATGAAAATATTTTAATACTTTCACGGAATCGAAAAAAGAAATTATGATCTGCTTTAGTTTTGTTTACATTTTTAAAGCATTGTTAAAATTACCGAGACGAATATCTCGTTTATGTTCGAAAACACGAGATTTTAAGGACCTACCTGTTTCACCCACATATTTTAGGTCACAATTTTTGCATGATATTTGATAGATGCAAGCATCGGATTAATATGTTGTCTGCTGGTGCTATTTAATAACTACGGATAGTCCTAGTAGGTAATATAGTAGTTCTAATTTTTAATGCATTTAGATTATGAGAGATACGTTCGGTCAAATGGTTATTTGGAAAAAAGATGCGACCAAACGAAATATTATCAGAGGCAGCTGAAATTGTATCTTTCATTGATCTAGTTGTAGTGGCCTTTGAGGTGTCATTTTGCGCTGATGAGTGAATTTTCAATTTTTTTTTTTTTTTTAGCTCTCTGTAATAATTGTCTCGGATACGAAAAATATTTGAAAAGGTATCCTCAATATATGTAAATTCATCATTTAAATATTTTGATGAACAGATGCGAAGAGCCCTCAAATAGAATCCAATAACAATAATTTCTTAGTGTTAGTATCATGGTGAGAGTAAAAATAAATAGTCATTTTTACATGTAGGTTTACGATAGATTTGAATTCTTTTAATTTTTTTTATTTTTAATGAGTAATATCTAAAAAAGGTAAGGAATTATTAGATTCAAGTTCATAGGTAAAATTCAATAGTAGGTTCTATTCTATTTAATCTATCAGTAATCTCGTTTAAATCATGCTTATGTGGGTAGATAAATAAAATGTCATCGATGTATCGAAAGTAATTGTATCAGGTGGAATGACATCTTTAAAAGGTCCAGATTCAAGAAATTCTAGAAATATGCATGCTAGGAATCCAGAGAGAGGACTCCCCATCAGTAAACCAAATTTTTGTTTATAATAAATATTATTATATTGGAAGAAACAATGTGACAATAAAAAGGATGCATAATTTGATGCATTTCGAGATAGAGATAGGTATTTAAAGTCAATTTTTTAAGGTGGTTCTCTAATTGTTTAATGCATTTATCAACAGGTATATTAGTATATAAAGATTTGATGTCTAAGCTAGCTAGTAATTTTATTTATATCAATATTTCTCAACTTATTTAAAATAAGAGCCTGAATTTTTATATGTGCGTTACTTATTGGTGCCCAGAATTGGAGTTTAGAAATTTAGTTAAATACCTAGCGATATTATAGGATATCTGAGCCTATACCCGAGATGATGGGCCTTAATGGAATGTTAATTTATATATTTTTGGGGAGGCCATAAAAAGCTAAAAATAATTTGGAAAAAAAAAAAAATCATCAAACGCAAAATGACAATTCAAATTGACATTGAGACTTATAAATAAAGCATATCGATGTTCATCAACTATATATTTAAAAACTATTATTAATATTTAAAAAATTATTTGTTTTATATTCTTTAGTTCACTGTAAAAATTCTGTTTTGTGGATGAATTAGTTTTCTGCACGATGTATTAGATTCTTTATAAAAAAAAATTTTGTAATAATAGGGCATTCGCTCTAAAAAGTTAAGTGAAAATGAATTTATGCTTGTAGGTTTTTGGATAGGAATTTTCAAATTTGTTTTTATTTAATGTGTTTATAAATATGTATATATTTATAAAATTTTATTAGTAGTTTGAGTTTATTTTGAATTTAACAACAGAATTATTTTCGAAAAGTTTTTGATGTTGAATTTTATTTCATCTTATTTTTAAAGAATTTATTTATCATCAACATATCTTATGTAGATATATTTATTTTATTAAATATATATAAATATCTTAATTTCTAGTTTCGATTTAAAAAATTACTAAATATAAACCCAGGACTTAACCCATATAAAATTTATATATTATATATATATATATATATATATATATATATATATATATATATATATATATATTATGATCGAAGAAATGGACTTTAGTGAGTACAAGTTATTACTAGTTTCCGTAATATATTAGGATTAATTTTAAGTCATATTAAAGATAAGTTATAATATATATTTCTTATGTAAATTATAAAAATAGTTAAAACTAATCAGGAACAGTGGTAAATAAGTTTTCAACATCATTGTGAATTTATGATTTCATTGTTTTTTTTCAGAATTTGGATAACTTTAAATAATGTTGACTTAACACTATATTTACTAGGAAGAAAAAAATAATGAGTTGGTTAATGTATTTTGTTTTGATATACAGAAGTAGGAATTTTCGACAAATATATATATATATAAAAAAAATAAAATATGGTAAAATGATATATATATATATATATATATATATATATATATATATATATATATATATATATATATATATATATATATATATATAATATAAATAGTCTGATAAAAAATGTCAACAGAAAGAACTGGACTTTGTTTTTGTCCTACATTTGGGACTCATCAGCAGAGCGCAATGTTACCAAGAATTGAAACCCTGACAGGTTGTCAAGCGAACATCATACCAACTGTTCCAAATGGGACTCGTTTGACGAAGAGATTCCAAATCAGTTTCAAAAGCGCCGCTCGCTCACATATTCCGTATATTATTTACATGAGTTCTCTGTAACCATAGAACGGTGCCCCTGGAGCCACGACTTATCTCACCAATATATATATATATAAAAGAAAGAGGTTGTAGTGGTTCCAACGAGAGAAAAGTATATATATTAAAAAGAGAAGAGAGGTGCCGCAAACGGTTTTGGTTGTAATGTGTTTTTTTTAGAAAAAAAATTATGCTTTATTTTCCATAATTTTACTACACGTGTTTCTGGTCTCGTGATCGTCTTCAGGTAAAAGCGGAGATTTCCACATATTCTTAAAAATAATTAACTTTTTACTTATGTTTTTCAATGCTAAATATTCTCGATATGAGACATTCTGTTTTTGTGTTAGTAATCCGAAATATATATATATATATATATATATATCTCGAACTCCGATAGAATAAAAGTTTATTATCAGTCCCTTATAATACCATATATATATATATATATATATATATATATATATATAGAGAGAGAGAGAGAGAGGGGGGGATATATAGTACTTCTTTGCCTAATACCGACAGAGTAGTATAGGCGAATGGAATGTTTTATCCATAAGACAGTTAATCTTTAGATTTATTTTCTTATCGGCGTTTAAAATGCTGCCTTTTTACTTTGAATTGAACGCAACTTACTTAACCACAGGGCAAACTAATCAAAATGGTGTCGACTACTCTCCCTAACATATAAATGCCACGCAGAAAGCAGGAATACGGTGTGTGAATGATATCACCTTGTTATCTTTCGCTTATAGTTTAAAGATCCTTTTCTATTGGCTGCTCTTGTGACTTGGGATTTAAATTATTTTAATCTTGGCGGAAAATCAAAATTTGTGACTTTGGGAGAGTCAAATGTGTCTTGAACAACTCTTCGGAAATGTCAGAGGGTTGAATTCTTGGCTTAGATCGATGGGCGTCGAAGGTGGAACAGGATGACGTATTGTTGCTTAATTCGTTTTTGCTTGAGTGATTCGAAGAAATCTGGAGAAATAGAAAAGCAAAAAGAATAAAAGATAGACATGAATGAGAAGGAGTTAATATAGACAAAAAAAAGAAAGAAAGCAAAGATAAGATATAAATTTAAATAAGAATAGAATACTTGTGAGAAAAAGAAGACGCTGCAGAGGATGAAAGAAAGAAGAAAGAAAAAATGAAAGAGAGGAAAAAAGAGTGAGAGAAAAAAGAGAGAGAAAGAAAGAGTGAAACAAAGAAAGAATGAATGAAAAACAGAAAGAAAGTCTGAGAGAAAAATAGAGTGAAAGAAAGAAAGAAAAATAAAAGGGATGAGAGAAAGAAAGAGTCAAAAAATGAAAAAGAAAAGTAAGAAAAGAACGAAAGTATGAATGAATGAAAGACAGAAAGGTAAAGCGAGAAAGAGTGAAAAAAAGAAAGAATGAAAGACAGACAGAAAGAAATACTGAAAGAAAGATAGAATGAAACAAAGAAAGAAAGACAGAAAGAAAGAGTGAGAGAAAGAAAGAGTAAGAGAAAGAAATAGTGTACATAAAGAAAAAAAAAGATATAATGAAAGATAGAAAGAAAGAGTGAAAGAAAGAGAAAGTGAACAAGAAAGAAAAAAGAACGAAAGAATGAAAGACAGATACAAAGAGTGAGAGAAATAAATAAATAAATAAATAAATAAAAGGCGATAGAAAAACGAATGAAAAAAGAAAGATAAAAAGAAGAAAGTGGGAGGAGGAAACAAATCACGATGAAAAGTTTTGTTTTTTTTTCAAAAATTGAAAGAAAAGAAGAAGAAAAAAAAGCGAAAGAACGTAGAGTAAAACAATGAAAACAAAAGTGGAATGAAAGTGTAAAATAAAAAGTCGAAGAAGTAAAGTTATAAAGAAAAATAAGAATTATTGTGGAACTGAAATTGGTCGAAAATGATAAGAACGGAAAAGAATTATGAAGAGAAGATGAAGCAGTTTGCAGAAAGAAAGAGAAAAAGAAAAAAAATACCAGACTGATAAAGAGGAAGAAAAAACAAATGAAAGTTACAAATTTGTTAAAGAATAAAAAAAAAAACAGTGTTCTTATTGGGGACATTTGAAAGCCATTAGACTTTGTATTTTGCTTCCGATGTTTTGGGCTACTTTTAAATGAGCTGGACTCGGTTGGGTTATTAATGAGACGAAAGTCAAATCAAAATTTAGTAGCTCTGGGCTTTCTAATGCAGTCGAATATGTTATCTGTAACCCGGTCTGGTAAGAAATAATGAAACAATGAATTAAAGAAAAAAATGATAAGTCAAGTGATAATTAAATCAGAATGGAAAGATAAGAAAAAAAAAAAGAAATTAAAGAATTAAAAAGGAGAAGGGTCATGGATACATACTTGTGTTTAATAGGCAGAGACTAAAGTGCTGATGAGACATGAGGATTATTATTATTATTATTATTATTATTATTATTACTATTAATGGAAGAAAAAGAACAAGTATGAGAAAAAGAAGATTATGAAGAGTAAACGGAAATAAATAATTATCAATGATTAGAACATTATAAGTTCGATAGGCAGACGAGCATTTCAGTCCTTGAAAATGAGGAGGAGGAGGAGGAAAAATTATTAATATTATTATTATTATTATCATTATTATTATTATTATTATTATTGGAAGAAAAATAAGTGTTAGAAAAAGAAAAATATTAATAAGAAGTATAAACGGAAATAATTATTTATCAATGTTTACAACATAATATATTCGATAGGCAGACGAAAATTTCACTCTTTGAAAATAAAGACAAAGAAGAAGAAGAAGAAGAAGAAATTGTAGTGCGCAGTGGATTCCAGAAAAGTACAGACAGAATAAAAATTTGTGAACATTTTCGTGTCATCAAGTTCGAGCTGCTCACTCATGCGCATGACCGGATGTCCTGGACCCGACATGGCGTCTCGCTCGCTTGTGCAGCCGGCATATTTGAATACAAACGGGCGGAAGTCGCAAGTGATTTGGCGAATGAGACGTCGTTGTAGAAGACTAAATCAAAATAAAGGTAATTCAAATGTCGGATTTCCATACGGAATGTACCCCCCACCTTCTGAAAAGACATTAGCCGGGTGAATCACGTTCTGTTCATGAATAATTGAGAGGCGAATGAACCTAAAAGAAAAGAGAAAATGAAGTTTCTCTTTTCAAAAAATGGAGGCTAAAACAAAGGGTCGTAGAAAGAAAAAAAAAGTAATTTGATAAATGGAAAGGTAGAAAAAGCAAGATCAGAAAACTAGCGAAGAAAAATGTTAACTAGCTTTCAGTGAATGTGTTGGCGGGGAGATGGAAATAACTTCATGGAAAACCAACGGCCATTAATAAGGTATAAAAGTCAAGGAAAAGGAACAGATTGAAGTTCAGTGAGACACGGGGGAGGGGAGTTGAAAGAATTTCTAAAGAAGCGATCTTCGCAAAAACGTTTGCAAATAGAAGCATTGTATGAAGTTAGAAAGAAAAAAAAAGTGACTTTTCATAGCTAGAGAAAGATTAAAACCATAAACATGTTAATCTAAGGAAATTATTTATGTGGATTACATGAAGCTTTAGGGACAAAAGTCTTAATTTCAAGTGCTTTAATGACATCAAACCCGTTATTAAATAGTGCAAATTGTAGTCTGTCTTATGGCCAACGTAATTGCGTGCATTTTACTGGCACTAGGGGTCTGTGTTAGGGAATAGGTAAAATATTAGAATTTTGCATACTGCATTAGTATAAATCCCATCGTGTTTATCTGTGTTACAAGGCCCTGGTGCTCCTCGTGGCAGAGGGGTACGATAAGGAATAATTTATATCAGTCTTTCTCAAATATTTTCAGCTTATGGACAATTTATTCTTTCAAAAATTAAAATAGCTCATTCCAAATTTAGGCTACTCAATTTTCACACTAAAATACTCAATGAAAAGACAAAAGTAGTCTATTCAAAATTTATTTTAGTAAATAAGGATAAACATAGGATATCAAAATCAATTTTGATGATGTCATTCCGTCTTAGTCCATTCAACTAGTGACTACATTGATCTTGGTGTTTCTGACGCAATATGATAAAAGATAAAATAAATATAACACTGCCTAATACCTATGTAACTTCGAATTTTTCAAATATAATGGAAATGTATGTAATTAAATAAAATGTAAGCCTAACCCTAACCCTAACTAATGAAACGGTTCCCCACTGTGACATAGATCAATCCTTCTCAATCCTTTTCAGCCCATGGACCATTCTTCACAATATTCAAATGGACCATTCCTACTTTTACTTTTAGGCTGTTCAATTTCCACACTACAATACTTAATGAAAAGACAAAGTAGTCTATTTACACTTTAAAATGTATTTTAGTAAACATGGATAAACACACAGCACTATATAATACCTAAGTAATATGGAAATTTTCAAATATAATGGGGATCTGTCTCTATTTCTGAGATGAGGTATTATGTACATTATTTACATTATTCGGACTATTGTCCTCATCTTTGTCGACATATTTATTACAAAGTTTCGACTTTTCAGTATCTGTCTATATTTTTGAGATGAGGTATTATGTACACTATTTATATTATTCGGACTATTGTCCACATCTTTGTAACTGTGCCATGTGTCCTCAAGGACACATGACACAGTGGTTAAATCCGTTGGTTAGATCCAGTGACAGGACCGAATGAGTGTGAGTTCAATACCCGGTTAAGGTAGGGGAGAACTTGGAGAGGGGGATTAACAGGAGATAACTGATAACTGACTTCCATTAAACATGACACGTCGAACTAGAATAGTCTACCCCAGTGAGCGAAATAAAGGGTTCAGTTCGACATTCCAACCACCTGAAGAAGGCCGGAGCGTACAACGGCCGAAACGTTGTAATAAGTATGGTGACAAAAAGGAGGACAATAGTTCGAATACTGTAAATAGTGTATGGAGATGTGTGAAATTAAACAAAATATTATATTTTTAATTTTTCAATGTATGAACAATTTAGATACGTTTTTGTGAAATGGTACAATTTTCTTTTATTGTTACAAATTCTCTGTGGACCACTCGAAATGATATGTGGACCATCTAGTCCCCCTGGAAGACGTTGAGAAACGTTGATTTCTGTAGATAAGAGGGGAAAATAATGATTAATTCTAGACTTGAATAGGTTAAGATTGGATTGATCCGCTTGTATGTTTGGCAAAACATATTCTTCTTCCTTTTATTTTCTTCAATTTAGCTAACATCGGTGTCGTATTATGATGGGACAGATTTTGCAGTAAATATCACACCAGGCGATTAACTAAGCTAATTGCAGGGTTAACCTGAGATGACCTGAGTTGGAGGTGGAGATTCGGGATTCATCGGCGGTCACCCTGACAGATGAAAAACTATTGGCGAGATCATGAAAGTTTGAAGATTTCCGAAGATTTAAAAGCACTTCAACCCTAGATGAATTAAATTAAGTTATCAGTAATTATAACGGCCGGTTTTTACTAGTAGTGTCAAAAGTGCGAGTGTATCGAACATTCGAAAGAATTCAACACGAGACAGAATGTATAGGCTCGATAAAAAGAAAAAAAGAAAAAAAGCCAAACCTTGACTGGAATGATTTGTGTGTAACCAGATCCGACCATACTGGTCAGAACATTGATAATCTGAACTAGATTGGAATAGTTTAAATCTTGTGATTATGGAATTCTAACAGTGGTGGAATGTATGTGTATATGTTTTGATATCAGAAGGAGAAAGGAGAGGATACGCGTGAAAACAGATGTAAAATAGATCGTCGGAATAGATGTGCGAACAATTTATAATGGAAAATGAATGAATTTCGATCTCGAAAAAAGTCTTGGAATGATTTAAACTTTTACATTACGGTTGGTTTTATATGTAACAAGATAAGATAACGATATATAAAAGTGAAAATTGAAGTCAAGACTCAGAGGCGACAGGCTGTTTCATGCTAGACGCAATCGTCAGACGGCCTGGCGATATATATATATATATATATATATATATATATATATATATATATATATATATATATACTACATGTGTGGTCCTTGTGGCACGTAGTGCACCAGGTCTTGTATTCGGCCCTTCAAAACGTGTGGATCGTTCTGCACAAAACATTCACTGGTATAATGAAACCCATGTGCCGGTGCCGGGCTGTCGGTTCCTAGGAACTGATCGTCGTATTCGGCGCTGAAAGTCATATATATATATATATATATATATATATATATATATATATATATATATATATATATATATGCATGTTTCATTAATAACGACTGACAAGATACTACGGTTAGGCATTTTTATTTAATTTTTCTTGTGTACGAACAAGAGCTTTCTTTTCTGGACAAAGTTTTGTGTAAGAACTGTCCAAATGTTTTATATTTCCGAGCGCTTTCGGCTATACCTTTAGCCATTATCAAGGATGATTCGATTTTCAGCTTAATTGAGTGTGTGCGTTCTGTGTATGTCATACTGTGTGGTAGGGATGTTTTTAATTTCTGAATACTGTTAGCACATTATGGCTTTGTTCGTAGTTAATATTGTTAAGAGTTAGCTTTTTTCTTTTTTATTATTAAAGCTTAGTTTAATAAGGAAAAGAAATAGAAAACTTCAGCCAAGTCACAAGTATTTTGCTCCCAATCGACTTTTATTTTTCGGTCTTTCAAATGTTCAGTGTGGCAACCTCTTGCAGCACGGACAACATCAATATGAAAAGAAAATTCCTCCCCGACGCTTGGTATATAAACGGGAACTTTTACGTATCCCCATAAGAAAAAAAAATCACACGGTATGTTTTGGGGATCTCGAGATCCAAGCACAGTGAACAAGATCTTGGTAAGTTACTGAACGGGGCTTAGTCTGTTAGTCTTCAAATGTAGACGTCTTCATAGCACACGCCAGATAATAGCTTGAGAGTTCGTAAGCTCACGGCTTGTTCGATTTGTGGACTCCCTTCAAATGCTGCAAGGATTCTCGCCACTTGTTCCACCGAAACTCGTTGTCATCCTGAATTTCTTTCCTTTACATGGACAACCACTCTCTTGAAACTTTTTAAACCACCGTCTAATGTTTAGGATAGGGTATATTAATGTTGAATTTCCTTCGAAAAACACTCTGCTGTGTGACAACCGTATCTTTTTTTGCGAACTCGAGAAGGCAGAACGACTTTTGCCGAGGACTACCAATTCAAGGGGTAAACAAAGAACCGAACGTTGTCGGAGATACGATACGTCTACATAGCCTCAGTGAAAGCCATTCAAAACTTAGAAACATACTCTTTCAAATGGTCACTGACTCATTCCATGATGATGCTTGAGAACTGAAGCAATGGGTCATGACATCGCTTCATTCTTTTTCATAACTCTGTATTTGGAACCACGGAGGGGTAACTGATACCTGCTTGGATTGAGTAATTGGAAAGTCGAGTTCAAATTCCAGTTGAATCCATTACATTCACTTACGTACGCTTGGGAAATGTATGAATCCTCTTCTTCAAGGCCCCCACCCGCCATATATGAGTAAATAGTAGGACAAACCGGTTTCTATAGACTTGGATAGCAACTGGTCTACCGCAGAAAGAAATGGCAACCTACTGCGGGGAATATCTGCCTCGTCAGTCATGAAAGATACATGATCGCCTAAGCATGTATCACGCATGGCATATAACTAACGGATTTGGAACGGAATTGTGTGGCTTCAGTTATAGAAAATGTATTGCTGGTAATTTTATACTTGCATAGCGTTTTTTTTTCTTTATTTTTTGTAGGGGAAGTTACTATTTCCAGTCGCTTGGAACCTAACTGGTGCTATCACCACGGACCAGATCAGTCCTAGCCTATCCGATTTAGTTTATCGTCATACCCAAAATACAAACGGAAACATGTTCAAATATTCTAATCGAAAGATCGTGCCCAATTCATTTCCAATTTATCCTTTGAACTGAATAAGTTGAACTTTGTTCAAAACAGAAGTTGTAAACTGGTCCATCATAGAATCATTGAACAAGGCTAGTCAGTTCTAATATACGACACGAAAGCCTATTCGAACTGTTACCTATTCGAACTGTTACCTATTCGAAAAAAGTAGAAGATAAGGACATATTACGTGATACACACACTCCCCTACATGCATATATATATATATATATATATATATATATATATATATATATATATATATATACAGATAGATAGATAGATAGATATAGAGAGAGATTTGATAGATACAGATATAGGTATAGATATAGATATCATCCACTTATGAAGCTTTAATAAAAGCGAATCATGTTAGATATATAAATGTTGATATATATAGTTACAAGTTATGGTATAGTTATGGGTTAAAGTGTCCAATAAGGCCCCAATCATAATATGAAATCTGTAAATGGTAAGGATGATCGAAATATGTCTTTTTAATATAAAATAATACAAAGATATACAAAT